CAAAGTCAAATTCTTTCTCTCTTAATGAGAAATCGCGAAAAAACTTCGACGTGACCTGTTGACGTAGTAAAATTATGAATTATTGTACACAAATGAAACAAGAAAATTCATTAATCGTATAAAAAATAAAATGTCTTATGTACACGAGTAAGATATTTCTCACATAAGGTCGTGACCGATTAATATCCCGTCGAAGAAAAAATTAGCAAAGATCCGCGGATCGCGTCATAGGTCACGCGACTCGTTATAATATCGCATTCGAGCGCACAAGCGGCCTCTTGTCTTGATGACAAAGGTCGCACACACAGTCGCCGCGATAGCGGCACGATTTGATTTGTTTTTCTTCGAGAAATCAATCATTTGCGCGGTAATAATATATGAGACTTAATGATAGAATATGCGGCATTATTCTTTAAAGGTCGATCTCTCGGAGTCGACTCGACAACGATCGATTGAAAAATTCTCGAGAAAACGGCGCAATCATCATCGAGCGCGCGAAACGATTCGTAGAAACCGCGCGAGTAGATTATCTCTCCTCGAAAACGACGATAGGTCGTGTGTACACACGTCGTCGCCTCTCTCAGCGCGAAAAATCCCTCTAAATTAGATCAATCGAGCATTAATCCTTTCTGCAATTACGAGAAAGAAGATTGGCAGCCGCTGATCCCTCATGATTAATTCATTCCGGAAGCGATTAAACCGAAGAACAGTTCCCGTTCTGTTCTTAAGCACACGGTCGACCATTTTACTCTTTTACTGTTATCATAAGGTCGCACTAATTGAATTATTATTTCAGCTTAATTCGGGGGTTAATGTCGGAAGAATACATGAGTAGGAAATATACATGAGAATATATTTGCGATTGTGTTTGTACAATAGTATGCAGCAGAGCGAGTAAAATTGTCATTACATATAGATTTCTTTTTTCTTTTTTTTTTTTTTTTTTATCGAGTATCCGAACAGAGCGCATTATTCAGATCAAATATCGACGACGACGTCAACGAGGAACCTATGGCGCATTTCGGCCCTAAAATAATATTATCAGCCTGTCCGCAAGATCTCGACGCGTTGAAACAATATTTTCACAAGGGCGTCTGTCTGTCGCGTCGTAACCCAGAAATCCGGGCGAAAGGAGAGAGGGGGAAGGTTGCAATATCGCTGTTTTTTTTTTTTTTTTTTTTCGCTCGGTCGCGTCTCATCGCTTCGGAACGTCTTCGTCCTTCGGACATCAAACCCTCGCGGATCGATCTGTTGAGCGCCGGAACGGTGCTTGAACGCGACGAATATCGCGTTCCAGAAAAACGGGAGCACCACGAAACAGTCGGATCGAACGTGTTATTTCCGAAGCTGCTAATTTTATACCTCTCTCGAGAGAGGTAAAATATATATTTTCGCGTGCACAGCAAAACGAGTTTACAGTCCCATTGCTCTCACTGCGCTTATTAAGACTTATTTGAACCGGCCGGCGAGAAGCGAAGAGAGATAGTAAAGTATATATCATTCGCGTTTGCGCTCGCGTTCACGTTCGCGTGTCTTACGAGGCGAGATCTTTGCCACGGCGCGTTGCCGCGCGCGGCCGCATTTATCGGGATGAATTTACAACGCCGTTTGGCGATCCGCACTTCGCGGACCGTAACGAACCTGTTAGTACAGAACGTGCAGTGCGTTACTACACGGTATAGTTACACATAGCGCGGGGCCCACACACGGCGAGTACGATTTTAGCCGGCATCTACGCGCGCCGCGTTGTACACGCGACTGTCTTTTTTTTTTTTTTTTTTCCAAATAAATCTGAAAGCCGAACGGGTATTGTGCGCATACAGGGTCGTGGCGTGTTTCCATTGGTTTTGCGAGCTTTCGGCTAAGCTAATTACGGAACGCTCGAGATGCCAAAACGTGTTCGTTTAACTGGTCGCGCTCGGGCGCGCGCACGTATGTGTGTCGTTAACGCGATGGAAACGATACTTCGCAAATAGCGCCGATGAGTTTCACTCGATCGCGCAAATCTGATACATATTTTGCTCTCAAAGCTTCAAGTTAGGTACTTGTTTATTAACGATATCGATATTTTCTCTCGTTATTTTATTTACACGGCTGGGTTAATTACTTTTGAATGCGCGCGCGCGCGTGTGTCATCTTTTTGTGACAGTTGATGTAAAATAATTGATACTCACGAGTCTTTGACATACAAGTGAAAACATTTCGATAGCTAACAATTTCATAGATTTAATTACGCGCCAAACGTGGATATTATTGTTAGTTTAATAACGCGCGATCTTTTTTTATATAACTTTATAAAGAGTTGTCTGCGCATGTTTGTTAATTCTCGAAATTGATTGCATCGATATGCGTCGTTGAAACGATACATATCGATATCATTTGTACGCAAATCAAATATTAAATTTTATTCGACGCTTTTAAATACTTCTACTAAAACTTAACAACGTTGACATTTCGATTGGATGAAAAAGCTTCGCCTTTATACGAGCAATTAATCGATCGTTACGAGTTCCACGATTATCGAGGATAAATACGGTGAATGTGGTCGCGCTGTAACAAAGAATGTCTCTGTTCTCTCTCGCAAAGAAAACGAGGAGGAAAACAGAGGAAGAGTTTAACGATTAGAGGTTACCCGGTATACCGAGTGCACGTGTTTAAACCCCGCGCTTTCGTCGGGTCTGCGACTTTGCCAGAGTACACGGAAGAAGGCTACATCCGTTTCCGTTTGTTTGTAGAGACGTTCCCGGCGGTGCTGGACAACGTCGCTCGCGGGAAACTAATTTTCGTCAACAGTTTCTCTTCTCGGCTTCGTTTTCCAGTTAAGAGAACGTCACAGGCTTTATTTTTTAGTGCAATTTACAATCAAAGCCTCGTCTCGTTTATTCAGACGCGTTAACGACAGAGAGAAACTCAATATCGCATTAATTAAAATATATGTATAAAAATTATTTATATTAAAATATATCTGCTATCGAATTACGAGACACGAAAAAGAAAAACAGATCTGTCGCAATTAAGTTTGCATGAGAAAGTTTAGGAGAGGGATCGTATTTTATCCCGCTTTCGAAACTGCTTTGACTGCGACTCAGCCGGCGACTTGGCTTCGAAAGTCGGCAACCGGCCGGGGATTAATTCAACCCTTCGAACACCTACGTAGAAATGGAAGACGGTAATCCGACACGGTTGTCAGCCCAGAAGGAAACGGGTCGGGAAGAGGGAGAGACAGGAGGAAAGGAAAGGAAGAAGAACGCGGGAAAAGAAGATGAGAGAGCGCGCGAGTAAGGCGAGTGTGACATTGCGACGGAACTCATTCTCCGCGAGTCGCCGGGACGACGACGCGTCTCAGACCGGAATTCGCTCGTCGATAAGTTTTATTGTCGCGCGGATTGTAAAAGAGCGACGTCTTCCGCTCGTCGCGCGTCCATTTTACGACGATTATAATGATCGACGCTGTCATCATGCTCGTGGAGTGCTCTCGCAGCGCGCGTGTTAATACCCTCTCTCTGAAAAGAGAAAGAGACAGAGAGAAAGAGAAGGAGAAAGAGAGCCGAGCACACACGAGTGCGTTTTATTTCGCGTTGGCGTGTAACGGCGATGCCGTCGCCGCTGCCGCCGCCGCCGCCGCCGCCGCCGACGGTCCGACAAATCGAATAGCGCGTTGCGAATTAGAGACGGGGAGTTGCGCACGCTAGTGCCTCGTACCCCGCAATCGGTGCGCGATGATTGCTTTCGATTTGATCCGATTTCGAACGGCGGCGACAAGGATGACGACGTCGACGCACGCGGAACAAGGGCGAACGACGGGAGATGCAGAGGGAGAGGGTCGGGCAGTTGCATTTGCACGCTCCATAAACGATTAATACGCTCTCTCGTCACGTCCCACGTGTCGGGTGACGTTGCAATGCGCGCGCGAGCACGCATTCTCTTCGCGCGAGAAACGCCATGAGATCGAGAACGCTTACTCTCCGCTCGCGACAGAAAGGTCCTTCCCCTCGAAGCTTGGGCTAGCTTGGTCTCAGAACCGCCGTCAAACCGTTCCCATGCGTATATATGTGAACAAACGAATCGCAACGCGCAGTAACAGTTAACGCGATCAATTAATCCGAACGTCACTGCAGAAAACGCTGCGTTATCTTCTCTTTGTCCGTTGTTATGAAATAAAAATTAACGACTCGAACATCTCGCACGTTGAAAAAAACTGCAAAATGTCGATTTTTATCGGCAAAACACATACATCTCCATCTCCTCTCTCGTCCGATCGCAGCGATAACATATCGCGCGGGATAGATTCCCCGGCTCGGAAACAAATCCGATCGAACCCGAAAATAGACGTCGTCGAAATGCGAACGTAACAAGGATGCAGAAGGTTGCTCGACAACGAGGGGGAAAGTTGTGGCGCGCCATTAACACCAATTGTGGTTTCATCAATTTTCATCCGCGCGGCTTTTGGATCGGTAGCGCGCGATTTGACAGCAAAGGTGTCAAGTGTGACGCCTCGGCAAAGCGAGGCGATTTTCGGTCATCTGCTCTGCGTTTGTTGGCAGCTGCGCTCTCCGTGTGTACGTATATCAAGGGCAATCATTGACTGTGTTCCGCGAGCGGACACACGACGTACAATCGATTATTATTCGGCACGGGATCCGAGATGTGGACGGAAATGTTAATCCACACTCACACACACACACATACACACGTACACACCGCGCCAAGGTTGTCTCCATTGAAAGAGCGCGTTATCGAAGCGTATAGATTACAACTCCCCATATGGGTACATATATTCATGGCGTATAAAATCGACAATTTATTACACCAGCAAGCAGTACAACATCAGTCAACTAATTGATCGATATTAATTGATTAGCAGTATAATCAACAAAATGTTCTATTTTCCGCACAGACTGTACATTACCTTAATAACGTATTGTGCGTAAAATGTATTTCACATGCTACACACATACATATACATAGGAATTGATGACCTCCGTTAACTCTCTCTCTCTCTCTCTCTCTTTTTCTCGCTCGGCGCTACGAGATAAATCTAATAATAATAATAATATCAAACGTGATCAAAAGTGTCAATTAGCAATTCCACGAGTGACGTTGACTTAAACACTAATTAACGTGCGCGTCGGAGAAGTTTCCGTCGGAGAAGTTGCCACCGTTGCAGGTAGCGTCGCGCAATATTCCGCCAGTTAGCTCTCCGACGATAAACAACGAAGCTACCTCGGGCGCGGTCCTTCATATCTTTCGCACGTTGCCGTGTTACTTCTCAGTGTCAAAGACGGCGGTAATTGCGTCTCCTGCGCGATATGCGCTACTTACGTATGTCTTAATTAATTCGTGCCGCGACCCGCCCTAGAAAATTATTTCCGCATCGCCAAATGCACACACCAATCCCCCTTCCCCTTACTCTCTTCGTAGTCCTTTCCCGCGGCTGCTGCCGCTTTGCTCTCTTCTCATCCCTCTCTCTCTCTCTCTCTCTCTCTCTCTCTCTTTCTCTCTCTCTCTCTCTCTCTCTTACGATCGTTATCCTCTCCGCGTCGTCCTTGCTCTTCTCGAGAGCGACGTTACTGGTCGCGATGCAGGAGTTCAAGCAGATCCCCCGCGCCGAAGGAAGCTTATCTCGTAGTCACACGGACGGCGTCCCGCTCATAAATCAGATGATATCGAACACACGTTGTAACTAATTAGCGGTAGCACGAGCATATATATTCTCGCCTGACAATTACATACTGGTAATAACTGTTACTTGTAAATAATACATCTTCGTGTATACCTTTTTATACGAGTCATACACACATGTATTGTACCATACTAGAATGCCAGATTGATCGCTGTGCTTTTTTCGTTGTTCTGTTTGAAAAGTGGCAAACGATGAAATATGGTAGCTTTGTAAATGCCCGTGCAGTACATCAGCTAGCACACAATCCGTCCGCCGTTCGATACACATCAGTGGGAACAAAAGCGCGTGTCAGAAATCACACGTCGATATATATATATATATATATATATATGTATATATATGTATGTATATATTTCGTGTTTCGTTATTTATTTATTGTCAGAATCTTTTTCGCGCGCAGAATCATCGCGGAGTAATTTATTATAGCGCGCGCGCGCCGCGATTCTTATCGCACAACATTTTATATGTCGTATAGTATCACCATTTATCGCGATAAAATATATCTCTCGTCTAAAAAGCCTACGGCAAGCGGAGGCCGCGAGTCACGTAACACACCGAGCTTCTGGCGCGACGAGAAATTTGGCTCGATAACATAAAATTCGCGCGCAACGAAGCTCTCAACTTCGGAGCTCGGTTTTGCTAATGTGAATCCTGCTTAACGGTCTCGAGGACATTCTCGCACGGTGCAACCTCTCTTCCGAGACACCGCGCTAATTTTATCCCGTTATGCGCTCGATGAAGCGAGCGACACGTGGCGATATAAGTATCCCTTGGAACTAATGAGGCATAATGTACCTAACATCTTCATCCGTGCAGTGGTCCTGTTACAACATTATTTCCGTAACGACTTTGTTTATTCCGTGTACATCTGAACATCGTCGCAGTGTGTCTTGCATATCCGCGACGTACATTTCCGCGAGGAAAAAAAATCTCAATCGAAGCGAGATGTAACGCTTGGATTGAAGCGCAGTTTTATAATAACTTCAATGTCGTTAGATAAAAAAAAAAAAATATTCTCTCGCGTTTGCCCCGAGTATCTCTCCGCGAGCGAAATCTTTCCGTTGAACGACAGCAGAACAAAATTATTATACAAGTGCCTCCGTGTACGTGCCTCTTGCTCGAGTACACCGACAGTGTGTTTGATTGGTTTCGCAATTGCAGACTCGCGCGAATACCAAGCTCTCCTTCGTCAACCACAAGGGCATTCCGGTGCATCCTCTTGTACATCTCAATTGCTCACAGATCGGTTACCGCTGCCGGTGGAATCTTGCCTCACGATATCCACTCTCGTTGGATGTATGACTCCTTGAGCTATGCCGTAGTGCTCGTACAGGTCTTTGCCGTAAGACACGATCACCTGCTCGACCCGTTGACCGGGTTTGCTCACGTTCGATGAGCTCGACGGAGATGGGTCGTTTGCTGTAATATTCTGAAGGGTGTTGAAGCTCTGCATTACCAAGTGAGAGGCGGTTGGCATAGAACTGGTCCCGATTTGCGTCGAGATTGAGGGCGAGCCCTCTGTACGCGCGCTATTCGGAGGCTGTTGACTCTCCGCTAATGTCGCGTTGCCTATTATCGGCGCCGGTGCTCTATCGACTCGGCCGACCGATGGAGCGGCTGATCTCACCGTTCGCGGGGTCGATAACATAGCGACGGAAGGTTTGTCTCGAATCGGCATCGGGATCGTCGTCTTGGGCGACGCCCTAGGCGACTGCAACGGCGAATCTTCCGCTGATTGCGCTCGCTTCGTCGACTCGGCACGATTTTCTACAAGCTGCGTGTTCGAAAACGGCGCCGTGCGATTTTTTCTGGCCGGGATTTGCGGACTCATCGGTACCGATCGATTCGGGGCGCCCGATTTCGGAGGTGATTGCTTCGCGGGAGAACTGGCCCCCGCTACCAACACGGGCGAATTGTCGTGGGAATTGCTCGCGTTGGTTTTTACCGAATTGTCGACCCTTCGATTGGTGATGCTCGACACGGGAGAGTGTGGATTAGTCATTTGCGGCGTGTCCGAGGTAACGTTTGCGGAAGAATCGTGAGTCTGATCGCTGCCGTTTCTTACAGCGAGATTCGGATCGCCATTGGGAAAACTGGCGAAGTGCGCGATTGTTTCTCGCTCCTCGGCCACTTGTGGAGCAAAGGGTATTTTTCTTTCGACCGGCTTTACGGGCGCTCTGTTTTTCGAGCGGCTCGGCGGGACTCGGCTGTCCCGTTTTTTCTTGAGGTCGTTTGTCGCGACGCTCGGACGTCTCTCCGGAAAATGTCTGCCCCTCATGGTGACCGGTTCGGGTTCCTCGCTATCGTTCCCGTCATTATTCTCGTCTTCATAAAACTCCGAGTCCTCGTAAATATCGGACTCGTCCTCCTCGGTTTCCTCAACTATCGCGCTGGCCTGTATCCACTCCCTTATGCGATCCTTCTTCTTCGTACGGTCCACCGTGGTCTCGATGCCGTACGTCGTGAGCGTGTGCAGAAGCTGATTCTTCTCCTCCAGGGAACTGTGGAAGCTGTACATGGACGGACACAGCTCGTCTCTCTCGTCGGCGCCGCCTGCGGATAGAAAAAGGTCACGTTGTGGAAAAATTACGACGTACGTAGTCAGCGATACTGCAGCGCAATAGCCAAGCTCACCGTTCAACGCTTTTTCAGCTCCGAGTTTCGCCAGCCATCTGTCCTCTAAATATTTATTCACCTCTAATACGCTGACGGGCCTCTTTTCAACCTTCGGATCTAGCAGCCTCTTGAACATTCTTTACGAAATATCACAACGTAGACAAAGTGATCCAACTTTTCATTTGTTTATTTGTGTAACGTTCTGTTGTGTCGTCAAAGTTAAATTACTAGAAATTTTTCACATAGCAAATTATCGAGTAAAACATTTTTTTTTTTTATTATTATTATTATTAAAAACGGAAGAAATAAACAATCGAGTATACGAAAGTAGTGAATGAATAGCAGCGGATGAGGTAAGATGCGATTTGGAAACGCAATGCGGCGCTTAATCTCGGATTTCCCGAGGTGGCAACTCACCTCTGCGCCCGCGAGCTGATCAGCTGAAATAATTTCGGTTTCTTGGCGATGTTGAGCGTAGCGTTGTGCCAGTTTTGATATCTGGTATAGCGCGGGTCGTCCAACGCAGCTTTCTGCCACGGCAGGCATCCGGTCAGGCAGACAAATAGGACAATGCCGAATTGCCAGACGTCGTGCGACGTACGAGCTCTGAAAAACGTTCGTCCATCATCGTTATAACGTACCTTTGGCGAATCGTGGCTTAACTATAAGTTAAGTATCATTCATGCAACACACAACAAGAGAGCGCGGTATTCTGCGTTGATGTCGCGCTCTTGACACTTGACCAAAACTTCTTTTGTGCATGCAGGAGATTGAAACAAGAAATCCAAACCTTTTCCAAATCGAATTTGAAATCCTTAGACGCATAAAAAAGAGAACGTCGCGATTGTTTCCTGTTTTAATTATCTGTTTGCAAAATTATAACGTGATAAGCGCGTGTAATGGATCGTACATAGCATAAATATAATTACTTGTAAGTCTCGTCAGTGTCGATCTTCAATACCTCGGGCGGCGAGTACGGCAGCCACTCGTTGTGTCTTCGCACGACGGTATTGACCCGCCTGGTCTCGCCGAAGTCGCACAGCTTGATACGCGAGAAGTTGCTGCGAAACACGAGGATGTTGTCGAGCTTGATGTCACGGTGCACCAGGTCGCGGCTGTGTATGTGATGCACCGCGGCGGCAAGCTGCCTTGCCACCCTCTTAGCGTGCAGCTCGCCCAAGCCGGTCTCCGTCACGTTCGACGTGAGATCGCCTGAAAATCGATGGCAATTGAGAGACTGTATATTCGTCTGTGCAATATGTGGCGAGTGCCACTTTGCCGCTCTTTGTAACGACGACAATCACTCGGTGAGCAACTACCTCGCGTCTCGGAATAATCGGCGAGTTATTTCGCGATCATTGTTCGGTCTTGTTAAACGCGTCGTGAATATTACACACGATGAAAATCGTGAAGCAAAAATCGCAAAGAAACAGAATTTATTTTTAACTTGTTTTTTTTTTTTTTTTTTTTTTTTTTCCTCGTTATCTTTTCCAAAAAAAAAAAAAATTTTTTTTTTTTTTTTTTTTTTTTTTTTTTTTTTTTTTTGACACTCGATCTCGTTCCAAACAAAACAAACAGCGTCATTGATTTGAATTCGCTTATTTTTTTGCGCAAACAAGAAACTAAATTACACGGTCGGATAACGAAAGAAAAAAAAGAAAGTTAGCGAACGCGTTTGACTTGCAAAATGTATGATAAGTCGTCGCCGCACGTGGCAGCGGAGCGCCATAAAAAATTCTCTCACCGAGGGGGGCGTATTCCTGGCTAAAAACGTAAAAGCCCGCTGTCTCGAACGCCACGTCGTAAGTAGTTATGATGTTCCGGTGCGCCGACAGATGTAAGCCATAATGAAATTCCCGAAAAAAGTCCGAGAGGCCGGTGTACGCTTTCGGCAACGCCTTCAGCACCATCTCGGTCTGAGTGCTGCGATGCTCGGTCAGCAGGATCTTGCCGAACCATCCCTCGCCGACGATTTGCAGGATGTCGAACTCGTCGATCAGATTTACCTGTTCCAGAAAATGTTGAGTTTTCGACGCGCTGCCGTGCATCACGTTTCGGATCGATGTCGACTCTTTTGCGTCGACTTTTCGAGCCACGAATGACGGGATGAAGTGCGCCTAGGTTTTCGCAGACGCGCGGATCGTAATGATGCTCGAACTCGAGGGACGCGCTTCGGAATAACTCGAGAACCGCAAGCCACACACGGGAACACAAAGAGTCACGGCGCAAATACACACGCACACGCGGCGTCACAAGGGAAACGCGACTCCAAAGGGAAATGTAGGGATCTCACGCGTGAGCTCGACGACGACGACGGCGACGACGACGACGACGACGACGATGATGCGTTATCCGCTGCACGCTGAATACAACGCGACGCCGTTACTCGACGCCGATCTCTACGCAACATCTATTTTTACACCGACGCACACTCTTCGAGAACGCACGTTTCTTTCGATCCCAATACAAAACTCGACACATGAAAACCAAAGCGATTTTCCCGTGTAACATCGTGTTTCATTGAACCGTGTATTTCGCGGAATTTCGTGCGAAAAAGTTGCGGTTAAAAATTATTACTACGATAGACAAGTCTAACTCAAATATAACTGAATATTTATACACACACAAATAGATATTCGGCCATTAATAAGTGGGTCATTAATGATCCAATACTTTATATAAAGCACAACTGTAGTTTCGTACATATGTCACGTATCATGAACATTATTGTATATTTAAACGTGTGGTTTTCCTTTCCGGTTGAGTGAATAATCGACCTTTATTTCTCGGAATCTGTGTCGAGAGAACGTCATTGTGAAAATATTCCGTGAATCTGACTCGTTAATATATAGATAACAAAGTTATTAACTACATAAGCCACCGTCGAGTCACGGTCGCAAACGTCGCCGCCGATCTCACACACAGATTCTCCATTAGGGAAACATTGGTGCAATGCCAGACAGGAGAATGGCCGTTAGTCGAGCGAGCATAATGAAATGCTTGCTTCGCGAATCCTATTTCGGGACCTCAATGTCTCGTAACTGGAAAAGCCTCGCCCCGCCGGTCGTTGTTTAGACTTCTTTATTCGCGAGAGAGAAAACGCGAGGGAGAACCTCGGTATAGCGCGTATATCGCGCGTTTACAAAGGAAAAATCCAATTGCGCGACCGGTTCGCAGAAGAGCTGAACAGAAAGATGTGAAAAGAAGCGTTACCTTCTCGAGCTCGAACTCCCGTATCCTGTGAATGGATCCCCCGATCGCCTTCTTCATTCCGCTCATCTCCCAATAATCCGCCGCTTTTTTTTTTTTTTTTTTTGTAGTTTTTTTTCTTTATCACCAGGAATAGGTTTTATACGGTTCGACGCGGATCAACTGCGAGTATATCCAGTCGTTACATCCTGTGACGGTTATGAATTTCGCAATACCACCGGTCATCGTACCGATATCGAAAAATTTTCGCTCTTTCAAAGCGTCTCGCTCGGTGTTCTGTGAAAAACATTTAATCATTTCATATGAAAATGTTGAATTTCGTTGAAATATTATTGAAATATGAGAAAAATGTAAATATACACGAGGAGTGTGTGTATTTTGCGATTCCGGTTTATCGGACAGCTAACTAATATAAAAAAATAATCGAGTTATCACACGTCGCGCGCGTAACGACATTTTTCGCGCTATACGCGAATTACACGCACCGATGCGCTCGTACATCGTTGCAACAAGATGGATGTATGAATTACAACGTCATGATAGACGGCCGTGAAGTAGAACGCGCGGGTAATAAGTCCCGCGCTCTCTGGACTTATAACCCGCCGTAAAATGGCAGTCTAGTGGCGTGATATTTCATTTTCCGACAACGAGAAATCGTTAACGACGGCTCGAAATTGCGATTTCTATACGACTGCATGTGCGAGTCGTCGCGTCTTCGGTCGCGGCCGGCTAGTATTTTTGTGCTATGCACAATTGTTGCGCAAGACGACACGCCGGGCGAGAGAGAGGCCGCACACAAATCTCGCCGGGAATGCGCGCGCCGTACACATATTATTTGGCAGATTGCACCATCGACAATTAGATACTGAACGAACGTTTCCGAAACATTTCTAGGCAATTGGAAAGCGGACCGATTTTGCGCGAAATGCTGACGCAGAGAGAGAGAAAGTTGCGACACCGTGTGTCGATGAATCAATAAGCGGCAAACATGATGTTCCGCGATTTTTTAAATTGGTGTGATGTAAAAATAAGCGTCGTATCATCGGATAGGTGTGACATTTCGAAACGTCGGTTGTTTGAATCATTTACTTGATCGATGTGCAGTAAGTCTATTTGTTAATTCAGTTTATCCGCGGTCTCTTCGAGTCGACAAATGCAAATTTACAAACTCCGTCGAACTGATTTTTCTTCTCTCTCTCTCCCTCTCTTTCTCCCACGTATAAAAATCACTGTCTTCCGTTCGAAAACAAAACCAAATGTATTTTCACACAAAACTCGATAAAACGGCTCCAAGCGTAAACCAATAAATGCATTTTATTTGAATCTCATTCGTACATATCGACGTGTATCGTACGCCAAAACTTACGGTTGATAAAACTCGCGACGGACCCCTGTCGTTATTTATGTAAGCGCGCAATCCGGCGAGAGTCACGGAAACGCGAACACGCACAGCACGAGCTCGTTTATGTAAATTTACAGATTGCGTGCTTCCTCATGCACTTCTCTCTGTGAGAGTCCCGTCCACGGCGCGGCGCACCGGGATTCGGAGAAATTCACCACGGCACGAGGAGAGACACAATTAACACCACACCGGAGTAACGTGCACACACGATATTCTCTCGCCCGCGAGCGCACATCCGCGAAAATACAATGCCGTCGTTACGCGATAACGTGAACGCGCGCGCGCTCACACACACGCGCGCGCGAACCTCTGGAAAATCCACGTGTGAGAATAAATAACTCGATAACTCTTTCTTCGACTATTCGCGCTTATGTACGAGCGGGGCCACGCACCTCGTATGATTTCACGACTGGTCTGCCGTGTTCGGTGCACTGTTTGCCTGTCTGCAGTATTTATAAAACGCGAACCGGAAAGCGCGACTGTGGCGAGCTGATCTTGGCGCCTTGCCGACTTGTGTGTGCGCGCACCTTATCCACCTTTTCCTAAGGGCACGTGCCGCGTTTAATTAAAACAGCGAACACAAACTCCGTATCGAGCTCGAGTCATTAAGTGGAAGTTTATGTTTAGTTTTTGGATTACACAGTCACGATTAAAACTGGAACCGATAATTAAATATCGCGTAAAGATTGCGAGCGACTAATTGCGACTGACTTCAAGCTTGCAATGTGCGATATTCTAGAATTTCGTGTGTATATTATATTGTCATCGTGAGTATTTTGGCATTACCCAAACTCAGCTCGCTAATTACTGCAGTATTTCACTGCAGTGTACTATGTTGTTATTATTATTAAAAAAAGTAAGGCTGATATAAAAAAAACAAAAGCGACTGAAAGTTTGATAAGACAGTATTGATTATTTTATGGCGCATATTTTGTGTATTTTCAAAATTTTAATTTGCAACGCTTGCTAATACCCGACAGTTTTGACACTCCTTTCGTACACATAATGAAAGATACAATAAATTCCCCGTGTGATGTTTATGCGCATAAATTAATTATTGCGAAATGATTTCGCATGACGGTTGAGATGTTTATTTTTTTTTTTCACAATACATGATTCGAATTTACGAGCACAGGCAATGAAATTAAAGATTCATTACATACACGTTGTTCGAAATGGACGATGCTGCGTAATTCGAAAGTCAACAAAGACGACATATTTCGCCGTATAATTGGCCGAGCTGGTTATAATGTGACTACATAAATGCGTCGATTGTCATTGTGAGAACATCTCTTGGACATTTTTCAAAACAAAACGGGTCAAATAAAAATATAAAACCGTGTTATTCTAATCATACAGTCTATTTGTTTTGAAATCAATAAAAAATCTCCTGAATTTGCAATATTCTCTTGTATGTCTACTCTCTCTCTCTCTTCTCTCTTTTAAAATTATTTATCAGAAAAAAAAGAATGTCTATCTTGTATTCTATAATTTTTAATATATGATATGCATAAATATTACAATTGGATAAGCGTTTGTACGGACAGATTTTTATTTAAATAAATTTTTATTTAAATTACATCGATTGTGTGTGTATTAGTATACAGTATATGTAGCTTGTCTACCAGATTTTATGTTACGACATCGCGCGGGAATTTGAAGAACGTCATAAACATGGAGTGATCGACCGAGAACATGACAGTTCCTCAAGTTTAAAAATATCTGTTTTTAAAATATAAATTGAAAAAAATATGTAGGACATTGGAATACTCGAGTTTACGCTGGTTTGCTTTTTTTATATTTCTCTTTTTTTCTTTTGAAAGATCATCATATTTATTTTTTTATCGCAGCCAAAATGCAATTAAATTGCATCCTCAACATCGATAAACGATATCAAATAAAATATCATAATTTATACAATTACAAGAAATCAAACGCAAACACAATTTTCCAATGATGAGTTGTTTCGATCAGTCATTTTGCAAAATATATTGTTGTACACTAGCGTCCTCTCGACTGCGACGAGAAAGCCAGAGCACAGACAAGTACAGACGGTATCTTATTTACTCACGTAACCTGAAACAATTTAATAAAAATATATATATATAAATAAAAAAATATATAAGCGCTTACTTAAATGTAACATAAGACTGAAAACTGACATATCGTTGCGACATCAGATGCGATAAAGTATAATGATCATATAAAAAACCTTTAAGTTTTTAAATATTGAAAAACATTAAATGTTAGAATCTGCACAAGTTACTCCAGTGTAAAAATCGAAATGCGACGATTATGGGCATTATCATTTCGATTTATGTTCTTCTCTCGGCGGTGAAATTTTATATATTCGCGCTACAAGCCACAACGATAGTACACGCGAATCGTCGGAAGATGACAGGTGCATCGTGTTAACCGGCTGGCGCTCGGAGCGCGTTCCGCGAATGCGTCGACCAGTGTCAACTACACCAACCAACTCTACGAAAGCCGAATATACGTTCTCCAGCTTTCTCGTGTGTCATCGTATTGCGAGTGTGCGCGCGTTCGTAGTCGTCGCGTTGCACTTGTGTCGTGCGTCGTTGAATGTCTTCAACCCGACGGTGAGGAAAGTGAGAGATTTAGTGTCGAGAGAGCGTCGGTCGCGAGGCATCCGCGCGCCGTGTCCGATCGTAAAGAGCGGTTACGCCGAGTTTTCCCGGGAGTGCGAGAAATAACGGAAAACAGAAAAACGGTCAACGGCGGCGTAGAGAGAGGTACGCTCTCTCTCTCTCTCTCTCTCTCGTGCGCGTGGCGCTCGTGTTTGCGCTCCGTGTATACGTACATAGTACATGTGTGTGTATGGTGCGCGCGCGCGCGCGTACAAAACGTCGCGTAAAAGCGAGACGGACGACGGCGACTTGAGAGTGGGAAGAAGAGAGAGATAGAGGTGGAAAAAGTGGGAAGTGTGTCGGGCGCGCGGCGCATCGTCGTCATCGGCGAGGAGAAGGTGCCCGGAAGTCGCCTTCTGCTCTTCGAGTGCGAGTCTATCTGCGGCGCTAGATAAATAGACGGACATAGAGAAGAGGGGTGAGTAATCGCGGGTGGGCGAGGTAGTCCAATAGAAAGAAGGGAGAAAAGAAGACACAGGAAGAAGATACTGTAGGAAGTAAAGATAGCCGGGGAAGAAAGAGAAGGTGATCCATCAGAAGCGGGTGTGCACGTTTAGGTTTGCGTTCGGGTAGACGGAGAACGGGAGCGAGTAAGTGACCGAAAGACAGAACGGGGAAGAAAATAGAGTAAGAGAGAGACGAGGATCGGCGTCGCGCGAGTGGAGGAATGTGAGAAGCGACCGAAGAACAGTGCCCGTCTGTAAACACACACCGTCTCGGGTGAAACGAGGCGGCCCACCAACGACGTTCGATGACTCGCGCATTCCCGTCGTTGTCGTCGTGAAGCTACGGCATCCTCGACGGCGAAGCTGGGCGTCGTGAACCTCGCCGTGCGGGAAGAGAGAGTGTCTACGGGGGCATCGATCATCGTCGTCGTCGTCGTCGTCCTCGTCGCCGCTGCCGTCGCCGCAGCCGCCGGTTCACACGTATACATGAACACGCAACACAAATGACAGTGCACCGGATTGTGGGCGGACTAGCGAGGTGCTGGCACGACTCGTCGTCGTCATCTTCGTCGGTTTAGCGGACAAAGAGGTAAGAGCTTTTCTCCCTCGTACCAGAGTTTAATTCTCTCTCTCTCTCACACTCTCTCTCTCTCTCTCTCTCTCTCTCTTTTGCGGTCTCTTTAATGGACTCTTCTTTAAAAATGGCCTCATACGTTTCTGTACTTGTTCCAATTGCTATGTATTGTTGTTAAGCGGTCGTCGCACCGTGAAAAAAAGTTCTTGTTTGATAAGATAATTTTCGCGAGAATTGTTGACATATATGTTACCTATATGCACATGTATGTATACATATATATATATGTATATGTAATTGTAATATGTAAATATTTTTATATATACAAATATATGTATGTATATGTAAATGTAAATATATATTCTGACGAGATGATAACTTTTGAGTACAGGTCATATCAGTTGTCTAAGGACAACTGGCTAATCGCACAAATCTTGAAAGTTTAAATCGAAATTAAGATAACGCACAATTTTGCAATTGACCTCGTTGCTTTAATCAATATAGTTCATATACATCGGAGTTACCGTTATAAAAACATTTTATCGTTATTATTCAATATTGTAGAGTGCACTCTTGTGTGCTCTTCTTCTAGCGATATCTTTATAAACTGTGCGAGTTTTGCATATCGATTCTCTTTTGATATTCTATTCCACGAATTTCATTTCCTCTTGTTTTTTCGGGAAGACAGCCGTACAATATTTGCTCTAATTCTACTGTAGAAAGCACCGGTGCTAAAGCGGCAAACATTATTGATTGAATCTTGCTCCAGTATTCGGTACGAAAACGGTATCACACACTGTTCTCATACACATTTCACGTTTTATTTTTACTTCACTTGTGTGAAAAAGTGACGTGATTATCATCAACGCGTTCGAATACCTTCGAATTTTTGGCGAACAACTCTACGGAAATAAACACTCCGTAATTTTCTCTTTTTTTTTTCCAATCACAACAACGGTCGAGCGCAGCCTTACAAAGATCCTCGTGCACGTTACATTGCACAATAATCCCATTGCCGGCAATATCTCGGTCGTATTTGCAAATAGGTGGCGGTATCAATCGTTTATACGTGAACACTATTGACGTTATCGCGCAATAATATCGATCGTGCAGAAACTGTTCTGGAAACCTGTCCTGTCTTGTCTCGAGAGAGATATTCAGGTGGGTCCGATAAATTCGTTGTATCTCGCACGGCGGTGGTCTTCGATCTCTCTCCTGAATTCGGATGAGTAAACAGGTATACACGTATGTGTACGCAACGTAAGTAATGCAATCTGCTCGGAGACGTTCTGTTTTATCTCAAATTCATCTATATATTGTCTCGCACTTTACGTGAATGAAAGGATCTCATGAGAAAACAATGTCCGCGGGCTAATCAAATGCCACTTTACCGGAACTCGCTATTTCCGAAGTCCCTCGCGGGGATTTCTCTTTCCAATATGATTAATCATTATTGCGAGCGGAATGCGGAAAACTGAGCAAATTATATTCAGCTTATAAATAACAAATTATGCAGAAACGACAATAGATTACATCTTGCGCATCTGATACGGTTATAATTATACGAAATATAATAATAAAAAAGTGCCTGAAGTAATAACGATAACGTAATAAAAAATAACGAAATAATATCTAATGAGAATAAAATACAAGGATCAGTAAAGAAAATATTTTCAATAATAAAATTATATTATTGATGGAAATTAATTTGGCATTGCGCATTTTCTTTTAATATTACGATAATAGACATGTTCTCCAGAATGTTATTACAATAATAACAATAATAATAATTAGTAATTGCGTATATTTCGAGTACATAGTTAAAATTAATATCACTAGATTACAGATTCGGGGTCAGCGTGTAATTAACTCCGAATAGCTTTGTGAGTCAAGTAAAATTAGAAAAGGACTTTACACGCGCAAATGTATATAATCATTTTTTTGTTATAAATTACATTTCTGAAATATGCAAATGTGAAATATGTATTTCACGAAGTGCAATCTTTTTTCGAAATATATATTGCAAACATCTGAATGTGACGGCAAAACGTGAGTGAAATATTGATAATGTGACTCCTGCAGAAATTGCAAATTTCGAACAAAATTGTAGCAATTAAAAATTTAATAACCCGGTTTTCATGCATATTGAAATAACTCTTGTTACCAAAATACAGAATATAAATGGGTGTGTTAAAAAAACACGCGTTACAAAAACTTTCAACGTTTGATTTTTTAAAACCTACATTTGAATTCGGTAGTTTTAATAAAAATACAAGCGTTAGGTAGTTTTCAATAACCGCTATCGTGTGTGTGTGTAACACTTGATAATTCAGTATGAAAAAGCGATACAGAGTATCACACAGAAATGGAATTTCAGAAATGGAATTTTATCTCGCGCATACTCTAGATTTTACTACTACGAGTATCGTGCGTGTAGAAATAAAAAAAATTAACGTATAGTCGATTATCGATACATAGACGCGATCACACGTATTTATGACCTCAAATAACATGTTACACACTCGATAGCGATCAGCACATATCTTCATTATAAAGTCCAAAGTTTGCGAGTATCAATATCTACGATTTTATACATACAACACTCGATAACACGAGTAATTTCGTTCTTTCAAAAAATGTGTCTGTTCCAATTTTGGCAATTGCGATAACTTTTTGATGTAAAAATAAATTTGTCGGCTTGATGACTTTATTCTTAGCTCGGCACACTTCTTATTATTCGTTATATCGATAAATTGTTTTTCCATGATGTTTATTAAAATTATGTAACGCTTACATATTTATAACTTTAGCTTTTATAAAGTTTTTCTGCAAATTTATATTTTGCAGCAAGCGCTGTGTGCGTTATCTCCGTAATGGAAGGCGCGGTTGGTTTACTAGGTTAAAACTTCAAAGTGTCGGACTACGCCAGGTCAGATCAGAAATTCCGAGCTAAATTGACATAAATAGTTAACCGTTATATAATTGACCGTATCACGGAGATAACAAAGTTTTCCCATAGTCAATGACGCGAGAGAAAGAGAGAGAGAGAGAGATAGAGATGCTTCTCTCATCTCGATAAAATGACGGAAATATTAGGTCCGGAGCATCGCAAGGTACTAGAAAAATTTGGCTGTGTGTTTAACCACCAGACCTCCTTCTGCGTTGACTGTGATACATCTGTAAAAATTCGACGAAACAGACACAGCTGCTAATTCTATTCGGGCTCTGCCTGGCTCTCTCTAGATATTTGCTTTTTACTTAATTTATTAAATCTGTTAAAGTCACCGTTTTCACAGAATTTCCCACACACATTTTGCTTCCAAGATATTCTTTTCTAAATATCATTCAAAAGTAATACTTTTAATAAAGTTAAACTTTGATTATAAACTCACTTGAAATTAAATTAAAATTGAAATTAAATTAAAATTTTTTTCAACTTGAAAATAGATTTAATTTAGGTCGAAGAGAAAAGAAAGCGCTTGGACTTTATTGAGGAACACTTGTATAAAATTGATTTAAAATTAAATAAAAGATGTAGGTTCGCGTCACTACTTATCACCAACATCATCGAAACTTGATTCGATACAAACACCGACACTCTATACAATGATACACTTGTTAAGGAAAAAAAAATGGACTCAAGTGCTGAAAGAACGTGTCGAAGTTGAAGAGACAGGAAGTAGAAGTAGGTCGCGCTACGTGTATTGTATTACATTCTTGGAATGCTCTGCGCCTATTCATGCGCTTTATCTTTGTGTTAAAACATGTGTGGGTCTGCCAACACTTTTGGCATTTTAAAGACCGAAACGAAATATGTATTCCTCAATGGAACGGAATATTGGAAAAAACTTATAAAACGATACTTATGTATCGAGCTGTTGTAATTAACTTTCCGAGTTGCATCAGCGGAAAATAGATGGCGAAATATTTGCGACTAGCAGAAGTAACAAATGTATAAATTATCTTTTATTGAGTAACTCTTTTTTTTATAACATTGCTAATAAAACTTGCTCTACAACATCAATGATAATTGCATGCAAATATTATACAATTTGACGTGTTTGTTTTTTTTTTTGTTTTTTTAGCAAACATTTTTACTTGTTAATTAATTCAATGTTTTTATCGAGATACTCGCATTGCAATAAGTTTGCTTACAATTCACAAACCTCGTTAAAAAACTTTTCCATTGAAGACGGTGAAAAAACTTGATTCTATTTTTCAACCTTTCGTAATAAATTACTTTTGTTTGTACTTCCTTTCGCACTTAAACTTATTATTGTTTACTCTCAGAGGGGCGACGGTGTTTGCGAGCGAAACGGCAAACGGCGTTCGGAAGCGGAGATCAATCTGCTTGTCGAGTGCATTATCTCAAATTACATAGATCCGGCCGTGTCAAAGTAATTTGCTCCGCGGAGATAAAACTTGCGCGTATCGCATTTCAAGGTGAGCAAGCGAGAGAAAGAGAGAAGAGAAACGGTAGATCGTCAAAAAGTGGAGTCCACAGCAGCGAAACAAATCCGAGCTAAAAGAACTTCCACTTTGTGTGATTTGAACATTGTTTTTTTTTCTTTTCTTTTTTTTTTTTTTTTTTACTATTGCTCGGCTCAAAGTTGCCAATCGTAATTGTCGACATTCTTTTGCGACGTAAACAATAACGAAGTAAAGTATCTCTAGAGAGAAGAAGCTCAAAGTCAAAAATCTCTTCGCTAACTTCAAAACATTCGCGACGAAATTCGAGAGTTCAAGCTCGACAATATGCACGTGTGTCATCAGCTCTCAAGTCAGAGTTCGTCTCCGGATTTGGTTCGCTAATGTGAATTCTGCCTTATTCTAGCGTCTCTCGTCACATCGCTGTTGTCACTAAAGAAGATTACAAGAAAGCGAAAGAAAATTTTGCGCAGTAAGAAAACTAAAAATGTTACTTCCGTCTCATGCATAGAGATTACAAAGTCGCAGCTTCTCCCATCTCGTTTTTCTCTTCTCTCTCTCTCTCTATATATATATATATATATATT